TTGTAAGTTTAAAATATTGTAGATGAAATGGCAGTAGCTGATACAGTGGTGAAAGAATACAGAAAGTAGTTATGTCATATATATATTATACCTTGTATACAGGAAAGAATAAGCAACCGTTACTTAAATATATATTCAAAGGAAGTGGGGAGGGGAGAGAGAGGAGGGAGAAGGGTGGAAGGGATGGAAGGAAGAGAAGAGAGCTCATATGCGTATGTCCGAGTTCGTTTGTTAGACATAATAAGATACAAAATACACTGATTATGAGACCAGTGGCACATTAATGAACACACATTTACCGTATTTCCTCGAAAATAAGACATCTCCTGAAAATAAGACCTAGCGCATCTTTCAGAGCAAAAATTAATATAAGGCACTGTCTTATTTTCGGGGAAACACGGTAGGAGCGCATGTACAGAATTTCTACAATAATACAAAGTTCCTGATTTAAAATGCAAACTACAACTAGTGCGGCTGCCTGTCCGCTTATAAATGCTATACAGTGGACAGAAAATAAGAACGCGTAGAATACAAACCGACGCACAGTAGACAGTAATATACAATAGTAAAACATTATGTAGATGCTGTCCCTATGAGACATGCCTAAGTATTGGCGTCTTGTGTGCCAGGTAATGTTTTTTCTTGCTAATCTTGCTGCACTTTACTGATGACTTTCGGTTCAAATCTGACGAATGCCGTGTAGATTTCCTGTTGTTGAGAAGGGATTTGAATGGACAGGGCCATGCAATTTGTAACCTGATGGAAGAAGTGATCAAAGCCCTGCGAATATGATCGAATCGCGGGCAGTCGAAGATAATGAGGGTAGGATCCTCCAGAGTGAAGTTGACACAAGGGCAGGAGCCTCTGTCCTGCCTTAAGAACCGGATGAAGTACAGCTTGAACCCACCATGTCCAGTGATGAGCTGGGTGACGGAGAAGCTGGGGACGAAGTGCAGGGGACAAGGAAAGGCTCACGCACCAGTTCCTTGTGGAGGTTACCCTACTCTGGATCACCTCCAGAAGGAATTGGTGCGTGAGCCTTCCTTTGTCACACGATTTTCAGTAGTCTTGCCATATGCTGTTAAGGGTATTGGATATCCGATAATACACCGAGGATGGAAGGATGCGGTAGTAAAAAAGGTTACCCTTCTCATAGGCAGCCTTCTTTGCCAGAAGGTCTGTCCTATTGTTACCCTTGCCGCTATGACGCCTAATTCAGTGAAATTCAAGAAGAGTATTGGGCCAGTACTTGGGATGGTATTAAACGAGTCCCTGATGATAGGGGGTGAGTATTCCCGCCCTTAAGCTGTAATAGGGTCAACCTAATGTCAGAAATAATATTGAAGGCGCTCAAAATGTTCGTGAGGCTCTGCTTGTCAATGAGCTGAAGGGCCTTGATGATCGCCAGAGATTCTACTTGTTTGACACTGCAGTGGGCAGCCAAAGAGAGCCTCCCTTAATGAAAGAAGCGCTTTCCCTCATCCACCACTACAGCACACCCGGTCCCTGACTGATTCCTAGAACCATCAGTGTAGATATTAAAGCCACGAATAGTGCTATTGCCATCCAGATAAAAGTTCACATTAGGAAGGTCTGCCAGGTGAACAGGTTATGGACAGAGACCCGATCAACCGCCAGCTAGAAGGTTCTTTCTCCAAGTTCGAAAAGGGGGTGGGTAAATCACTAGGCTGGAAGAACTTGTAGGTAGTATTACCCTGCTGATTCCCGAGCAAATGAAATTGCCAGTACCTCCTTTTTAATGGCCAGGTCGATCGGTGTGAGCCCTGCAATAATCAAAAGGGCTTCGTTAAAAGAAGTTCTGTTCCCCTTCACCACAGCCAGAGCAGCTTGCCTTTACACCGCCAGCAGCTTCCTCCTCACATGTACCCTCGTGGTTGCCTTGTCCCAGACTTCACACCCGTAGGTGATGATTGGGGCAATGGCACCTTCATATAAAATCCTTGTTGCCTTAGGACTTAGGACCCAGATGTTTCAGGAGATGGGACAAAGGCGTGAGTAACAAGAAGGGCCTTGTCATGAGCATACTGACTGTGTGGGGTCCAATTAAGTTATTTTATTAAATTTAATTGCAGCAAGTAACAGTTGGTTGATTATCTTGGAAGTGTCCAATACTTACTGTAAAATGGTCGTTTCTGACTTGTATATTTTTTATGCGTTTTTATATCGAAATTTTACTTTTTGTGAAGTAAACATTTTCGTGTAGCAGTAAACGTAAATCTCTGAATGCGAAAAATTCGCAATAAAAACGAAAACGTCGTTTTCACTCGTTGTTGCAATGGCCAACGTTTCTGTTTTCTAACGAATAGCGATAGTAATGAGGTCCTTGATCAGCATGCCGGTGTCGGTTTCATTCGTCTCGATCTTAAGAGAAGCAAAAATATCCAGTTTCCAATGCATTACGAAATTGAAATGCTCAAAACGATGAACGATGTTCGACGGAGAAAACAGCAAAACGAAACGGTTAGCAGAGTGCAGTTTCGATTCAAATGCTTCTTGGCTATATCCCAGCACGCTCCCACTGCTCCACTCTGCTACAAGTAGTCTATCACTATCAAAATTTAATATCATCAACGCTCTTTATACATAAGCTACAGTGCCGAACTTCATTTCTTAATTTTTATACTATTCTGAGATATCAAAGAAAGAGAAGCCAACAGACACACACAGACACAGACACATACAGATACAAACCTATCCATTGAACTTTTTCTCTTTTATTGACTTTTCGGGTTTAAGAAGTCACAATACACACAGATTTACAAAAATCTTTTTAAATCAAATCCGACACGATCCCATAATATACTTTCTATGGCTATATATAGCATACATAACAGCCGAAAAAGTGAAAGTCACAAAGACTATTTAATATTCAAAAACGTTTTACTAAATGTGCTAGTTTTTTTCATGTTAGGTGATTGTTACTTATGTTAATAACTCCTGTACTTTTTGTCGAAAGTATCTGAAATTTTGCATGGAGGTTTGTGCATTAAATGGATTGATGCTATTTAAATTCTGGTGGTTAAAAGTAGAGGGGAAGAGGCAATAAGAGGGGTCGTGCATCATATCTCCAGTAGGGTTTGACTTAATGCTGATTTTACTTACTATTAGCAGTTAAAGTTAAGATTTTTTCCATTTTATAATAATTAAAATTATAAAATAGTTTTTAAAAATAAACTATCGTAATAGGTAGCGTTATTAAACGTAGCCTTGGAAAGTTTAGAGACTTGTTGTTGGATTTTTAATAGTTTGTTAACTAAAAAGACCAATTCGGTTACTTAAACACTAAGAGTTCGGTCGTGAGCTCACGCCTCGCCACGTCAGGCAGGCCTTATAGAGTTTTCTGAGTTTTCTACAAGCGTTTAACGCCTAAATAAGATCAATTACCCTTAAAAGATTACCCGGAAGGCATTTCCCTGGCTCTTTGCAAGAAATTTTATATGATCAAGCAAAAAAGCTTCGACTGGCTCTCCGGAAGCGATTACTCAATGTTATCATCAATATCACTAATATCATTAATGTGGGAGAAATAATAAATAAATTATGCGTGGCGCCATCTTTTATCAGGTTTTATTTAAAATTTTTTATATAATTAATTATTAAACCATGGCACAAAGCTTAATTTTGAGAGATAGGGTGAGTATTAAGTCCGAACCCACTGGAGATACACTCGACTCCCAATATCTCTCACACCCCCAATCTTTAATCAACAAAATTTAATAGCTTTAATCTTCTTAATGCACAAACCATAATGCAAAATTTCAGAAACTTTTAACAAAAAGCACAGGAGTTATTAAGCTCAAACAGGGTGAACAAAATCGTGCATCTCACACACAATCTTTAAGAGCTCAAGATATAAATTTTCAAAATAAATTTAAGAGATATCATTAAGAAATATTAAGAAGAGTAAAGCACGAAAAATGTTTTTTATAAAATAAATAAAAAGAGGAAATATTTAATATTATTTTAGTAGACGTACGACAGTAGGCTTTTCAAAATGAATAAAATTGTTAGTTACAATATTGATCCATCTGTTGCTTTCTTTCCTAGAAAAAATCATCAGACTCGAGAAAGCACAATTTTTTTAATTATTGAGTAAAACTATCAAGTTTCTTTTGATATAAATTCCAGTTTCAGAAATAATTGAATTAAGTGGTGTTAAAAATCCTTTCATTTTCTTTTACTTTGATAAAGTAATCTTCTCATTGTAATAATTGATTGTTGCATCAATTATTAATTATTCTTATCACAATCCTACATCAAGAAAAAGTTTTTTATGTTTATGTTTTACATTTATGATTCAAACAAGGGAACTATAGTCAATCTTGTGTGTATTATACGGTATATTTCGTTGCCGTATAATACTAATTTTGCATTAATAACCGTATAACCGTATAATATTAGTTTTGCATTAATTCTATCGGTTTTGAATAAACGATGCTGTTTATTGCAGGTTAATTTTAAGACAGCATAATTAAATTATGTAAACAAATATTATAATTATTGTATTTTCACTTGAATATATTGTGATTAATTTAATAACGACAATACTTTAAATGAACAAAGTATCATTCATGTTTAATCTTTGAATGTTGATACTTCTTCTGANAAACCAGAATATCTCCTACTTGCATATTTCTTATACAATCACGCTACGCCAAAATCCTTACTTTGTTTAGAAGGTCACTACTTAAAATATCTGGAAGTTTGGTACTTCCAAACTTCACACGAAACGTTCAAGGAAGACTTTTCGTTCCATTTATGTAACTTTGTCTCTCACTAAGATAACTCTTAGCAGAAAAATTAAGAGACTAATTACATAAACTACCCCGATATAGCGCTAGTATGTACACGTACTTATTTTTAAACTGCATTGATGCAACCCACCTCTAACATATACAACATTATTTAGTTTGCTATACGTATTATTTAGTTATAGTAATTTAAAGAAGCAAAGTAATTTTAAAAAAAATATACTTTTCGTAATGCAAAACTGTTTATTTAAAATTTTCTAATTTATTACGAGCAAATAGTAAATTTAAAAACAAATTATTAAATTTTACAAGAATTAATTACGCACATTTAATGAAAATTAATACATGGCTCAATACTGGGTAAACTAAACAGCTACAAATCGTGCAATTCAAGATTGTTTTTTAAGGCATTTTCCACGGCACAATTCTGAAGCACATCTTTGTCAACATCCTAAAAATAAAAAAATTGCAAATAATTAAGTAGAAATAAAAAGATTTTTGTTTATTTTTTATTTTTAACTTACGATTTCATATGATTCATCATCCAAGTCCAGCTCTTTCAAACAATCTTCATGCGATTCTACCATTGCCTGAATCTACGAAATAGAAATTATATTCATTACACTTTTGTAATTGTTTATGTAAATATATTCATCAATATTTATAATTATACTAAAACGAATGAAATTATATTACCTCAGCGTATGGTTTGCCACATAATTTAGTCATAAGGTCAACAAAGTTATCTTCATCAAAGCATCGGGCAATATCTGAGAACTGACAAATTATATTTGAATATTAATATTTATATATCTTAAAAACATTTTATTTAATTATATTAAAATAACTAACCATTTGCCTATCCTTAAAGGACATACTCAAGTCGATACAATTCAATATAATACTTCGAACTATTCCTTCAAAACCTGAAGAACAATATAAATTAAATAAAAGTGCGATTGTAATACATTTTTATATATTTAAAACTATGAAATGTTTAAAAATCTCTCTGAAATTAAGATAATTTATACTTAAAATTTGAGAATTAAATACAAAACTTCTCACGCTAACCACAAAATTCGACATAAAGGTCATCTATCTGTCCTGTCATTCTAAAGCCATTGGTGGCACCTACATTACATGCGATCACTCCTAAAACAAGCAAAATGCAGAACTTCATCTTGCACTTCTTGCAAATAAAGGATTTATTTTTAAAATAAATTGGTACGTAATTCTCGGTTATTTATATTTTCTTAAGCAATTAATCACAGGAAAAGCAATTAACTTATGTACTATACATTAAAGGAAACGTTATAAAAAACTGTTTCCTTTCTTAATTTAACTTTCAAAGAAGGAAAATTGTTAAAATTTACACAAATATAAAAATCAAAAATTACTTTAAGTTCTGAAACAAGAGTAGATTTTATTTTTAAAAATTAAAAAAAAAAAACGATTTTAATGATCAATTTATTCGAGGTTGAAATGAGGGATGGTTAGGATAGCCAAACCCCGCCACATCCATCATAACAATGCATTTATACATACACGTATAATTAAATTCTATAAATAATTATGTTTACCGGGTTTCGGGGTGGGAGAAACGGTGGAGCTGGTTCGTGTAGAACATTATTTAAATACAATGTCATGCAACTTAGGTGTATACTCACAGTTTCGGCCTTCTACTTTAATTAGAAGCGAATGAAATTTAAGTCGCAAGATTTGAAGATATGGTAGAAAACAAACTAAATAAANTTTTTGTCGAAAGTATCTGAAATTTTGCATGGAGGTTTGTGCATTAAATGGATTGATGCTATTTAAATTCTGGTGGTTAAAAGTAGAGGGGAAGAGGCAATAAGAGGGGTCGTGCATCATATCTCCAGTAGGGTTTGACTTAATGCTGATTTTACTTACTATTAGCAGTTAAAGTTAAGATTTTTTCCATTTTATAATAATTAAAATTATAAAATAGTTTTTAAAAATAAACTATCGTAATAGGTAGCGTTATTAAACGTAGCCTTGGAAAGTTTAGAGACTTGTTGTTGGATTTTTAATAGTTTGTTAACTAAAAAGACCAATTCGGTTACTTAAACACTAAGAGTTCGGTCGTGAGCTCACGCCTCGCCACGTCAGGCAGGCCTTATAGAGTTTTCTGAGTTTTCTACAAGCGTTTAACGCCTAAATAAGATCAATTACCCTTAAAAGATTACCCGGAAGGCATTTCCCTGGCTCTTTGCAAGAAATTTTATATGATCAAGCAAAAAAGCTTCGACTGGCTCTCCGGAAGCGATTACTCAATGTTATCATCAATATCACTAATATCATTAATGTGGGAGAAATAATAAATAAATTATGCGTGGCGCCATCTTTTATCAGGTTTTATTTAAAATTTTTTATATAATTAATTATTAAACCATGGCACAAAGCTTAATTTTGAGAGATAGGGTGAGTATTAAGTCCGAACCCACTGGAGATACACTCGACTCCCAATATCTCTCACACCCCCAATCTTTAATCAACAAAATTTAATAGCTTTAATCTTCTTAATGCACAAACCATAATGCAAAATTTCAGAAACTTTTAACAAAAAGCACAGGAGTTATTAAGCTCAAACAGGGTGAACAAAATCGTGCATCTCACACACAATCTTTAAGAGCTCAAGATATAAATTTTCAAAATAAATTTAAGAGATATCATTAAGAAATATTAAGAAGAGTAAAGCACGAAAAATGTTTTTTATAAAATAAATAAAAAGAGGAAATATTTAATATTATTTTAGTAGACGTACGACAGTAGGCTTTTCAAAATGAATAAAATTGTTAGTTACAATATTGATCCATCTGTTGCTTTCTTTCCTAGAAAAAATCATCAGACTCGAGAAAGCACAATTTTTTTAATTATTGAGTAAAACTATCAAGTTTCTTTTGATATAAATTCCAGTTTCAGAAATAATTGAATTAAGTGGTGTTAAAAATCCTTTCATTTTCTTTTACTTTGATAAAGTAATCTTCTCATTGTAATAATTGATTGTTGCATCAATTATTAATTATTCTTATCACAATCCTACATCAAGAAAAAGTTTTTTATGTTTATGTTTTACATTTATGATTCAAACAAGGGAACTATAGTCAATCTTGTGTGTATTATACGGTATATTTCGTTGCCGTATAATACTAATTTTGCATTAATAACCGTATAACCGTATAATATTAGTTTTGCATTAATTCTATCGGTTTTGAATAAACGATGCTGTTTATTGCAGGTTAATTTTAAGACAGCATAATTAAATTATGTAAACAAATATTATAATTATTGTATTTTCACTTGAATATATTGTGATTAATTTAATAACGACAATACTTTAAATGAACAAAGTATCATTCATGTTTAATCTTTGAATGTTGATACTTCTTCTGAACCTCTTGACAATTCTTTTTAGAATTATCAGTGAAACTTTTGTAACTGATGTTCTTCTATGCAACTACTTCAATTTTTTATACATTTATAGTTCGAGATCAAAGTAAAGTATATATTTTTTAAATCATTATAATTATAATGATTTAAAAGAAATATACTTACTATGATCTCGAACTACAAACCAAATTATTAAATTTTAGAATTAAATTATATAATTTAATCGTTATAAAAATAACATTATTAATTAATTACATGTATCGAGAATTAAGCATTTATTCTCTTTATGCGAATATTTAACATTTACATTCTTAATTATTTTATTAGATTTTTATATGTAATTAATTTATATTATTTTTTAGATATACAGAAATAAAAATAGACTAATTCATAATACAAAACTGTTTATTTAAATTTTTCCAAATTAACACACGCTAATTTTAGATTTTGAAAGAGATTGTTAAATTTTGGAAGAATTAATTACACATATTCAATTTAAAAAAATTCATGGCTCAAGATTGGGTAAAATAATCAGCGACGAATAATCATAGATGACTACGATAATGTTTCTTCTATTAAAATTTTTCACTGACACATTCAACTACCGCAGCTAAATCTACAGACTGAAAATATAAAAAATGCAATTAATTAAAAAAATTAAAATGTAATTTTGTAATTGTTTTTATTTTCAACTTACCGGTCTATCCAACTCATCCAGGTTCAAATTATTCAAACAGGCCTTATACGGTTTTTCCATTGCTATAATCTACAAAATAGATATTATATATATTATATTTTTCATAATTCTAAACGCTGATATATCAATTTATTTGTCTAATTATATTTACCTCATCTAATGTTTTTCCACATATTCTATCTATGATGATATCAAATCTATCTTCATTAAAGCATTGGGCAATACGTTTATACTGACTAATTATATTTGAATATTAATATTTGTAAACTATTTATTTACTTTTTATTTAGGCCACGCGTTGTTGTGGCTCAAAATGTATCTATTATGAATTTATAACACTTCCCCCTACAATTCCAAGTAATTCTTCTAATCCGTTCGGGAAGTTCTGAAAAATAAAAGTTTACTGTACTTTTCTATATCCAAGCTGTGAAAATGTTTAATTCTTTCCACAACGAGCATAATTTAGAGTAGGATGGTGCAAACTATTTAAGGATTTTCTGCTGGTAAAAATGTTAACCGCAATATAATCTTATCTAACTTAAAACAACTTTTTCGTGCATATACTAATTTATAAAATATCCAAACAATAAATTTATTATTAAAATAATTATCGCATATAAAAAATATTGGCTACGTGTTCAATTATGGCCGATTGTGTGGGATAGAATAGAACGTTGTACAAATGATGGTAGGGACTATATGGAACAACAAAAAGCATAAAAAATTAAGTGAAACTTTTTATTAAAATTATTATTATTCAGTGGAGTTATGAAAATTCCCTTTAATCATCCGATTTTCGTATAAGGACTTCAACGTCAAATTTATAAGTAAGAATATTAGACTTGTTTGCGACTGTCAAGACATTTAGTTTCGTTTAATTCTGATTAGTGGCGCCTGATTCTATACAAGGTATGCATCTAAATACATGTATCAATTGTTTTTAATGGTGTATCGTCGTTTTCTTAATGAAAATTTCAGTATTTTTTTTCACGAACTAATAGGAGACGACATATTATAAGTTACGTTCTATCAATCTCTGACTGGAATAAAATAGATTTCAAAAGACTTATTTATGTAGCGTTTATTACATAAATTTTAATAATCCAGAATTTGCGTGAATATCCTATGTTCCGTGACGTTTCTTAAGACTCTTTTTATAACGCTCAGTTTGCAGAAATTTTATGTTTTAATGAAAATGTGGGTCTCGTTGTAATCAGAAAGAGGATATTCACGATAAACTTCGGTAAAGGAAGGTTTAAAGGATAGAAAAATTTTAAGTCATAACAAAGCTAATGCGTTAATTGAAACGTTATAAAAGTGGCCAAATGTAAAACGTTTGCTTCGCAATAGAAAGCACAACAATTATTGTGGTTTCTATTGCGCCTAAAAACAATTGTTACGAGTCCTAGAAGAAAAGTAAGTAAAACACTTTTTAGCTAAATGAAAGAGAATTGTCTGAGAAATGCTTTCACCTGTTGAGTTTCTAGAACTTATCATATTTACGGTTTATGAGAATGCTTGCTGACAGTGTTCCATTTCGTCCCGTGCTCCGTATCGTCCCATTCTACCTTATATTTAAAATTTGAGGATTAAATAGAAAATCTCTAATACTCACCACAATAGAGTTTCAAATTTCTCTTCTTTCTAAAGCCATTGATGGCACCTAAATTGCATGCGATCACTCCTAAAACAAGCAAAATGCACACCTTCATTTTACACTTCTTGCAAATGAAGGAATAATTTTTAAAATAAATTGATAAGTAATTCTCGGCTATTTATATTCTATCCAGCAACCGCTCACAGGAAAAGCAATTAACTTATCTGTTTTATAATAAAGAAAACGTTATAAACACTGTTTCCTTTTTACTCTTGAAAGAAACATTGTTCAAATTCGAAAAACAGAAAATTAAAAACTATTTTAATTTAACTAAGATAAATAAAACTAAAATTTTAAAAATATACGATATAAACGTAACAGATGATTTTATAATTCGTACTTGAATAGAAATAATTTCGTTATAAAACATAATAAATTATCAAAATGCATAAAAATATTTAATTCAAAATTACGTAATAATTATTATGTAAAATTTAATATTTTATGTATATTAAATTTTAAAATTAATTTCTATATATGATATTTACATTACATGCTCTTCGTACAATACAGTACATTTATTATCTGATAAATAAATTTATTATTTGTTTTAATTTTTACATAATTTCAGTCTATTATAATTAGTAATAATTTGTTTAAATCGTTAATAATAATTTATTAACGTTTTAAACAATCTAATCGAGACGGGTTGATAATAATAATACTGTAAAAACAATCAACGCAGAGCCGAAACGGTTAGAAGTTGAAAGTTGAAATTTGTTACACAGTTAGGGTACGTCACGAGAACGCACACTAAAAAGGAATTTTACGAAATTCTCCCCTAGGGAGAGAGGGACAGAATTAAGGTTTCGACAATGGAAGTATCAACAATGAAAGTATCAACAATGGAAGTGTTAAGAATGGAAGTGTCAGCAATGGAAGTGTTAACAGTGGAAGTGTTAAGAGAAAGGGACGTGCAAGTTTTACCGACGCAGATGCAGTTTTTTTTTTTTGTTTCTGCGAGAAATCGAACATTTTTTAACCCATCTAAAAATTTTCTAATTAGTCTGGAAACAGGAGGACTTAATTCTTGCATTCGTTGAAAACGAGTAAGATTGACTATAACTTAATAATCTTAATCTTCGCTATCGTTACTTTTTGCCCGAGCAGCGCCGGACCTATCTGCTATTATATTATATAAGAATATATTTATATTCTTCAATAGCCTCAAAATTNCATGACGTCAACAAAACTATCTTCATTAAAACATTGGGCCATACCTTTATACTGACAAATTATATTTGAATATTAATATTTGTAAGCTATAACTTAAAATTTTATTTAGTTACACTAAAAATATGCTTACTGTATTTCTTTCGTCGGATGGCAAATTATCCTCTATACAATTCCAAGTAATTCTTCTAATCCGTTCGGGAAGTCCTGAAAAATAGAAGTTTAGTGTACTTTACTTTTCTATATGCAAGCTGTGAGAATGTTTTATTCTCTCCAAAACGAGCATAATTTAGAGTAGAGTATTCTCCTATAATTTACAATTTAAGGGTTTTCTGCTGATAAAAATATTAACTGCAATATAAACTTATCTAACTTAAAACAACATTTTTGTGCATATACTAATTTATAAAATATCCAAACAATAAACTTATTCTTAAAATAATTATCGCATATTAAAAATATTGGCTACGTGTTCCATTATGGCCAATTGTGTGGGATAGTATGGAACATTGTGCAGATGATGTTAGAGAATATATGGAACAACTAAAAGCAACAAAAATTAAGTAAAACTTTTTATTAAAATTATTATTATTCAGTGGAGTTATGAAAATTCCCTTTAATCATCCGATTTTCGTATAAGGACTTCAACGTCAAATTTATAAGTAAGAATATTAGACTTGTTTGCGACTGTCAAGACATTTAGTTTCGTTTAATTCTGATTAGTGGCGCCTGATTCTATACAAGGTATGCATCTAAATACATGTATCAATTGTTTTTAATGGTGTATCGTCGTTTTCTTAATGAAAATTTCAGTATTTTTTTTCACGAACTAATAGGAGACGACATATTATAAGTTACGTTCTATCAATCTCTGACTGGAATAAAATAGATTTCAAAAGACTTATTTATGTAGCGTTTATTACATAAATTTTAATAATCCAGAATTTGCGTGAATATCCTATGTTCCGTGACGTTTCTTAAGACTCTTTTTATAACGCTCAGTTTGCAGAAATTTTATGTTTTAATGAAAATGTGGGTCTCGTTGTAATCAGAAAGAGAATATTCACGATAAACTTCGGTAAAGGAAGGTTTAAAGGATAGAAAAATTTTAAGTCATAACAAAGCTAATGCGTTAATTGAAACGTTATAAAAGTGGCCAAATGTAAAACGTTTGCTTCGCAATAGAAAGCACAACAATTATTGTGGTTTCTATTGCGCCTAAAAACAATTGTTACGAGTCCTAGAAGAAAAGTAAGTAAAACACTTTTTAGCTAAATGAAAGAGAATTGTCTGAGAAATGCTTTCACCTGTTGAGTTTCTAGAACTTATCATATTTACGGTTTATGAGAATGCTTGCTGACAGTGTTCCATTTCGTCCCGTGCTCCGTATCGTCCCATTCTACCTTATATTTAAAATTTGAGGATTAAATAGAAAATCTCTAATACTCACCACAATAGAGTTTCAAATTTCTCTTCTTTCTAAAGCCATTGATGGCACCTAAATTGCATGCGATCACTCCTAAAACAAGCAAAATGCACACCTTCATTTTACACTTCTTGCAAATGAAGGAATAATTTTTAAAATAAATTGATAAGTAATTCTCGGCTATTTATATTCTATCCAGCAACCGCTCACAGGAAAAGCAATTAACTTATCTGTTTTATAATAAAGAAAACGTTATAAACACTGTTTCCTTTTTACTCTTGAAAGAAACATTGTTCAAATTCGAAAAACAGAAAATTAAAAACTATTTTAATTTAACTAAGATAAATAAAACTAAAATTTTAAAAATATACGATATAAACGTAACAGATGATTTTATAATTCGTACTTGAATAGAAATAATTTCGTTATAAAACATAATAAATTATCAAAATGCATAAAAATATTTAATTCAAAATTACGTAATAATTATTATGTAAAATTTAATATTTTATGTATATTAAATTTTAAAATTAATTTCTATATATGATATTTACATTACATGCTCTTCGTACAATACAGTACATTTATTATCTGATAAATAAATTTATTATTTGTTTTAATTTTTACATAATTTCAGTCTATTATAATTAGTAATAATTTGTTTAAATCGTTAATAATAATTTATTAACGTTTTAAACAATCTAATCGAGACGGGTTGATAATAATAATACTGTAAAAACAATCAACGCAGAGCCGAAACGGTTAGAAGTTGAAAGTTGAAATTTGTTACACAGTTAGGGTACGTCACGAGAACGCACACTAAAAAGGAATTTTACGAAATTCTCCCCTAGGGAGAGAGGGACAGAATTAAGGTTTCGACAATGGAAGTATCAACAATGAAAGTATCAACAATGGAAGTGTTAAGAATGGAAGTGTCAGCAATGGAAGTGTTAACAGTGGAAGTGTTAAGAGAAAGGGACGTGCAAGTTTTACCGACGCAGATGCAGTTTTTTTTTTTTGTTTCTGCGAGAAATCGAACATTTTTTAACCCATCTAAAAATTTTCTAATTAGTCTGGAAACAGGAGGACTTAATTCTTGCATTCGTTGAAAACGAGTAAGATTGACTATAACTTAATAATCTTAATCTTCGCTATCGTTACTTTTTGCCCGAGCAGCGCCGGACCTATCTGCTATTATATTATATAAGAATATATTTATATTCTTCAATAGCCTCAAAATTATAAAAGAACATGCATATATTGTTATCGAAGATATATATAACAACAACAATAACTATTGTTTTGTTAAATAATAACTAGTTCTAGCTACAAGTTATTCATAAGCAGCATTACGTAAATACAGTAGAACTTCGATTATTCAGACCTCTATCATCCGGATTTGGAGCGCATGTACAGAATTTCT